ACTGGTTCACACGATTAGTGCATTAGACTTGTGTTGCGTCTGGCGCTTGACCTCTTTGACACCCCTTCCTTTATCAGTCACCCTTCCGCCTACCGAGCCCCGTGTTGCTTTGTTTAAACACTGTGGCAGTTTGTAAACTTAAGCGTTGTTACTTATTATGCTGTTTGCTTTCAGTTTGTGGTAGCTTCGACATGCGTAATTCGCCGCAGCACTTCCTGTCCAGTTTGGGAGAACGGGCGCGCCTACGTTGGCAGCACTGCACGGTTATCGAGGGCGATGCGCGACTTATTTTGATGACGCAGGAGAATCTGACTTCGGACGACTTTCGAATGGCAGCTATGCCTAATCTGCGCGAAATCACCGGCTCGTTACTGGTGTTCCAAGTCGTGTAAGTACCGCACAAGATCAGGTGGCGGCGCGCGGCGTGCGGCGTGAAGCTAACCACCTCTGTTTTAGTGGCATGGATTCGCTGAACGTCATGTTTCCCAATCTGCGGATAATCCGCGGAAACTCGCTGGTGTCCAACTACGCGCTGGTTCTGTTCCAGAACCCGGATCTCAAAGAGATCGGACTTTCGAACCTGACCGAGATATCGAAAGGAGGCGTACGGATCGCCGGCAACTCAGAGCTGTGCTACGTGGACACGATCAACTGGAACGAACTGTGTAGGGAAGATTCGGCACACATCCTCATCGAAGAGAACAAAGACACCGGTAAGCTGATGCGTGAACTTGGCGCACCGATGACCGCTCGATGGTCGATTTCGTCGCCACTGCCCTGCCGATCACAAGTGCTGTACCCTTTCTAGGTCTTAATGAAGCAACGCCATCGCTTCGGTAACGATAACTGCTATCGCACTATGGATCTGTACGCTGCAGTATGCTGATTTACGCGTAATTTCATGATCGTATGTCCAAGCGTGTCGTACCGTCTTCATCTGATTGTGTGACTGGGTTTGCCGACCAGTGCGATGTGAGATTTCGCCGTGGTGTGAGGGACTACGCACCTGTTGACTCGTCCCTGAATGTACAAACCGATATTTTGGTGTTTACGCGGTATCGCACAGTAGGTACCAGCTCCCGAGACATCATTCGTGATGAGTGTGAGCTTGTTGTTGCAGACGAAATGATGCAAGGTGCGTCCGGCACTGCGGGTACTCGGATACTCTTTTAACCTTATTGACCCTCCTAGGCAACTAGGATCAAATGATCGGCGCAGCAGGCTGAGAAATCTCTTCTTGTGGTAGGAGCTACGCGCCGGAAAATACTGTCAGTTGTATTAAAGGTTTGAAATATCTTAGCGCCGCGGCGTCCATCGAGTTATAATAAGTTCTGCTTTTAGTCATGCTTTTGGTGTCCGTGGTACTTTTCAAAGTAGTAGGTGTTCGGTAAAAGAAGTTTTCAACGGAATCCAGGCAGTAGTTTTCGATGAAGGTGCACAAATATTAAATTATCTATATGGTTATTTCAAGTTCAGCGATTGCGCACATAGAGTAAGGTCCACAACGATGTTGCATCTCAAGGTTCGAGATGCACCTGTGGGTAGGGTCAAATCTGATGTATTTGCTTTCCCGTTGTTTTGGACGACAAGCCCTGTTTCTCCGTCCGGGTATGGCTTTTCTAGGTGCATTCGATACGTTCATTTTTATGAAGTTGAAAGACTTTCAAATTGAACGTAGTTCTTTTATATGCGGGAGATTCTTTACATCGTCTTCATGTTTCTTGCGGAAATGCTCTGCATATACACTTTGTTACACAAATCACCGACGTTTCGAGCCACATTCGGCTCGTTGTCGAGATACCTGTCACAGTACAACTGGAAACATCGTTGATTTCTGTAATGGGCGAAACTATCCCCTAAGATACATGAAAACGTTAAATACGTTGCAGGGTTTACAGAGTAGGGTGGGTTTGAAACGAGTGATAACAGTTTAAAGCGCGTGCATTTCTGACCATTTCTAATTAATTCATCCTGGAAACCTACCTGTAGTTCAGCATTAGTATTGCGTCCAGCATTCTTGTAAATAACATGTAGACCATGGAACTAATCTGCCGCTTTCACCACCGCGGAACAGATCGATTTCCCGCAAATACAGTAAAATAGATGTCGGCGTGCAGCTGTAGCTCTTAATTATACCTTTGGTTATTGCTTTGCTGCAGAAACTTGTGAGAAGCCGCACAAGTCGGAGCCATTGCCTCGTCACAGAAAACAAGGGTCTCGTCGACAGGTTAAAATTTTGGTGGTTACTGGTGTGACCAGGGACCGAACATCATGCACAGATCGACAAGTCCTTAGTGACGGTCAATTCACGGAAGATCTATAACGCTTTAAAGTCTTCTTATGTGTATCAGACACTTGTGTGGTCGGTTATCCTTCAGTGCTTGCTTAATCGTTGTAGCGCTAGGGACCGCTGAAATGTATTGTTTC